ATATGCTGCACTGCGCTCGGCTTCCATCCTGGCAAGCGCCCCCGCGTACCCGCTGCACGCATGGGCGAGCCAAGAGGTTGTTTTAAGAAGGCGTGTTTGTGTGGGCACGCTGGAGGGGTCAGGACATCAGAGGTAATCTTAAAAAGAGAACCTTCTCACCACCTCCCCTTTTTATATTCAGAAAGATCATTTCTAAGCCAACTCTTTGCAACAAGGCCTCTCCTGAGGCGTTTACCCTGGTGTTATTTTTTACTCGTGATTACAATAAATCACTTATCCCCCAAACAGATTTAAGAACAATAAACAAATACAAAAGGAAAGGAACATCTCATCAGTGACAAAGACTGCATCCGAAGGCGCTGAGCCTTGTGACTCTTACATCTCTGTCCAAGCAAAGCAGAAGTCCTACAGAGAAAGGAATCCAAGAGATAGGAAAATTATAAAAATAGTAAAAGGATCCAGTTTTAGGCAGGATCTTGTCATTTCTGGGGAGAAATGGAGCTCAATACAGTCTTAGCACTTTATTTACATTAAGGATTATTTGTGATATAGCTAAAATTAGTTTTTAAGGCTATCCACTGTGGTGAAATACGATAAACCATATTATCCTCAGTGTAGAAAGATACTTTCCCTGAATGCAGAGTTCACATTTGGAAGTCAAACTGTGCAAAACAAACAAACAAACAAGCATAGATCTGCACGTCTCACCGGCACCGAGACCTGGACCTGGTGCCTGGCCGTTCCAGGGAAGGGGCAGCTCCCGGTGATGCCACCTAGAAGAGTAACTTTTTGTTGACTCTGAGGCTTCTAGTGATGCTGGATTTTCTTTTCCAAGGCAGACAGAGCCCAGATACTGAAACTGTGCAATTTGGCACAATTATATTCTCCTTTCTCTGTCAACCCGCACCTCCTCCCCCCATAGATTTAATGAAGGACTTTGAGGTACGATTCATCGTTGATAAATAGTCCCTCTGCCCAGAATGTTTATTAGACTGACAGCAGAATGCACTCTCCTTGCTTTTTTCTTGTGCCACTTGTGACTCAGATGAATTTTAATAGGAGCAGAAAGCTTTTATTTGCACCGTAATTTCACTTAAGGATCATATCCTTCAGAAACTGGCAGACACTTGTATGTCTTGATTGCAAAACATACACTCAGGAGTAAAGAAACATGCAAAAGATGTTATTATTCAACCTGTCATGGTGTCGCAAATCTGCTTGGAAATTGGGCCATCAAAGTGCTTCTTTGTAGCACCCCCCCCAGCCCTTTAGGAACAGGCCCTATAAAGAACATACTCGGAGATGCCCGCCATCCCTGTACAGAATCAGAGGGGGAATTGGAGTTGGCTTTTGCATCGCAGCCATCAGGATGCCCTCAGGAGGCTTTGAGTTACAGCAGCTTTTCTTGAACAAAACGGGGCTGCCTTGATGCGGCATCTGTGTTCCCCAAGGGAAATGTTATCTGGCAGGAATCCAGAACCCTTCAGGGCTGGTTCCAGCTTCACCTAGTAACACTTCCTCAAACCATTTTATTTTGTTTTCTTTTGGATAGACCAAACTGTGCCTCATACTCATATATTTATGCACAGAGATTGAGGATTTTCCTGCCAGGTAGAAATGCTCTTTACCAGACATGTTCTGTTTGAACTGCCTCCAATGTGCTCCTAATGGAGTGAGAGCCACCTACAAAAGTTGCCATTAAATACTCGCCTGTGCATGTCATATTCTTTCCATGGTTATATAACTGTCTCTCAATGCCGAAGACCCTCTGTTTCATCTTAATCTGCCCTGACCATCCTGTTACATTGGAAAGACTGCGTCATGTGCTGAAAAACAAAAGCTAACTTTTTCGATCGTAAATAGAACATGTTATGTCACTGGAAAATTTTGAGTTTTAAGTATTATTTTGCCTAGAATGAACACTGAAACCCTTTGTCTTAACTTCGTGATAGTACAGCAGCTCTCTGGCGAGCAGGAAGCCTGAGACAGCGATCTGCTGCCATCTACTGGCGTCTGCACGCAGTCACCCCCTCTCTTTGGCTGACCCGCTCGTGGAATGTGTGTTAATTGGGATCAGTTTATACGTTCTCACTGTTTTCTTATAAAGTTTTGAGATGCCTTTGTAATGACACGGGATGATTACTCTTTTTCACTAATTACTGGAGTGTTCTCGATTTCAAGAAACTTCTTAAATAACTGGCTTACAGTGTATGCTGGAAACAGTAATATATAATTAAAACCATTGACTTCAGAGATGTTATAATATAAATTTAAAAGCTCAAAACTGATTTTGAATGAACAATATGTTTGAGGAAAAAAAATCCATCATTTATACTCACTTACGTTTTTTTCCCTGAAGTACAAGGTACGGATCTTAACCAAACTCGCTGCAGAATTGAACAAATTTATGCTGGAAAAAGTGGCGGAGGACACAAGCAGTGTTTTGCGCTCCCCGATGCCTGGTGTGGTGGTGGCCGTCTCCGTCAAGCCTGGGGACATGGTAAGGACCACGCCTGTCTACTGGATGGGGGCAGAGTGAGGCATGGGCGCATTCTGTGCAGCCCTTCCTCGAGTCATATGACTCCCAACAGCAAAATAGCTTTGGTGCGTTCTTTGTCCAACTGTTGCACATCTGAATGAGGCTGAGTGCCTTCTCCCCCAGAGATCTGGGACTGGAACAGAAATAAGGCCGGACTCATTCCGTTATTTGGCAAGTTTAGGGTTCTGGGAAGCAGTACACTTAAAATTTCTATTTACTCTCAAGCTGTTTGTGCTTTAAGCACCCTTGAAGACCTCATGCCAAGAAATAGCCCTCTCATGGGAACTTTTTTGAATGTTTTCTGGAATAAAGGGGAAGAGAACTAAGGAAAGTTCATTCCATAAGCTTCGTAGGAGCAGAGCACTTACATAACTTGATAAATAAAATTCAGGATCACAGTTTGAAGTTATTCATCTTGACCTTGTAACAGTAAGGCACAAGTCAAACATATATTAATATTTTCTCACATGTTCAGTCTCAAGATAATGTGTCATGGACAAATGGATAGAAAACATGCATTTTCATAGAGTATGGGTAGAAATCACTATTGATTAACAGCAAAAGTAAAAAGAAAACATAACAGCAAAAGTAAAAAGAAAACAAAGATGCAACCAGAAGGTTTCTAGGGGCACTTTAAATACTTGCATTTTTATTTATGTGCTAGAAAATAATGGCACAACGTGGTAGTCTTTCATGGATGATATGATGATGGTTCCATGTAATTGTCTCAGTGAAGTCATGGGAGTTTACTTTCCTGTAAAGATTATATTAAAACTGCCTCTATTGCATTATTGACAAAGGTACAATAATGTTGAGAAAAACCCATGTAGTTGGCATTGGCTTCTAGAAAAGCATTTGTAATAAATTAAGAAGAAATGACCGGTTTGAGTCATTTAAGTGTTAGCCTGGAAATTGATATGTGAAGTTGGAAACTGACTTAACAATTGCTTTACTTGATATTATGGAAATGTAACTACCAGTTTTTGTAGGAAAGCGTAAAAGAGGTTAAGTAGCTATGAATTGTTGTGTTTATTTTGAAAGCCTTGCCATCCCTGGAAGTCACCACTCATTAAAAGTAACACCCAAGTGTTGGGCCCTGGGAGAGGCGATACATGAAAGCACATATATGTGTTGACTACAGGAGAAGGTTCACCTTGTGTATCTGCATTTTAAATAACTAGGGTCACGAGAAGATGGCCCCTTGGCCTTGACGTTAGGAATGCTGCACTCACACACTACCTTATCCGAGCAGTTGGTGGAATCTTCTAGTGACTGGATGTGTAGATTGGCAAACAATGTAAGGGTTCTCCCCGCCCCCTCCCCCACCATTTTCCTTCTTAAGCTTTTTCTGGAAGACACATAGGCTGTATTCTGCCATCCTGAGCTTGTCAGGCCTAATAGTGTGATTATAAAATCACATATGCACTTAAAAAAAAAGTGTTAACTGAAATCCTTACTTTTCCAATACCTGAGCAGAGGGAGACCTGAGCAGAGGGAGAGAGGTGAGAGAGGCCTGCTTGTTAAGGGGAACTGCTTTCTCCTAGGCTAGCTGGTCCAGATAACAGAATGGTTTAACCTGCATGCTTACCATTTCCTGGGTAATGTTTTAATGTGGGAAAGCAAGGCATTTAGGGAATTGGAACAATGTGTTCCTGGTCCTTGGTGCACTGGGTAACTCAGATATTGAAAACCACCACCAATAATGAAATGTGGATATTCAAGAGTGCTTTAATTTGAGAACTAACTGTTAAAAATATGTTACTACACAGCAATGTGGTCTCTATTTTATATAGCCCTTTAAAGCCAGAGTCGGGGTCTGGTGCACCCCTAACGAATTGGTGCCTAATCTGTGTTGATCATCCTACTTATAAATGCAGCAGGCATGTGCCTAGGCTGGTCAGAGAGCACGTGCTTTCTTCTGTCCTGTTTAGCAGAAGTCCTTCCACATTCTGTGCCATTGTGTTTTGAGAAAACTGTTTTTTCTTGAGTTATTGTTAAAAAAAAAAAAAAAGTCCCAAACCACTAATAACTAAATGAAATGCAAGATGAGGAGTTTAATTGTTGGCCCTTGTTACAGCCTCTGTAGTTAAATCTGCCTCATGTACTTAAAACACAAGGAACTTCCCTGGACCAAAGGCATGGCCCTTACAAGAAAATAATACTCATAACTTTTAAGTTTTGTGGTTTTAAATTATTTTAACACTGCAGGGCATGTTATGTTGTTCTTAGTAATAACAATAGCTGAGCCAAAGGTTCCACTTTTATCACCAGAAAGATGATGTACCCAATCATCTCTGTGTATTTTCAAGGAAAACAAGGATCTAAAAAACAGAACTAAGAGCCTCCGATGATTCTGTTTTTCTTTGAAGTGTTATTTGTTTAAATTCCAGTAATCCATGATTTTTGTATTTAACTTAAATAAAACTTGACAAATCTTAGAGTGGTGGGCCTGCCAGTAATGTGTTTGACAAAAGCATCCTATAAATGATAAATAACAAATCTGTTTTGTGAAATAAACAATGTTAATAGAGTTAAAAAAAAAATCTCAGGGCACAATGATTTGGGTGGCTGCTTAGAAATAATAAATGAACCAGAGAACTTTGTGTGGAGCGGTCTTTCCCCTCCGAAAGCGTAGAGGCTGTATTTTTTCAGGTTCACACAGCAAAAAGTGCCTAATATTTTTTAATGTCCACTGCATATTTAACACTAAATGTGGAGTAAAGTCATTTTTTTCATGATTGTATAATTGCTTTTTTGAAAGAATAAGCAAAATGCATACAAACCAACCAGCCAGCAAGAGCCAAAGCAAGGGTGGATTCTGAAAGTCAAGGCCGACACGTTCAGTTCAGAAGACAGCTGCTAGCGTGACTTCCGCGCTCCTTTCCTATCTACCTTTTAAAATCTGCCATCTGAAACTATGTTAGGACTGATTTTCATTTCGGTTTGCAAAATCCCTCCCTACCTTTCCGTACACCCAGCACTGTCATGAACTGGGGCACTTCTGTAATCTGGTAGCATGCTTTATGACTTGTTTTAATTTTTTAAACTTAGTTCTCTGTGATATTCTTGAACAAAAATATTAAAAATACATATTCGTTCAGAGAAAGGGCTGAATATGCTTTTCCTTAGCTGTCAAGCTGCTGGATTTGTTGCAGTTTTCCTTTTGACTTTGAAGCTTGAAGTCATAGGGGTGCGTTTGTTTTGTTAGCCTTTCGATGATCAGAAACAGACCAAAAGAATAAAAGTAACAATGAGGCAACCCAAGAGGATATTTTAATATTGCATTTAATTAAGATTAAATTGAATTTCTAGCTATGTTTAGACTCAGATGTGCATCAGAAATATTCATCTTATTTAATACATTTAAAATTGAGAAGAGAACCAGAAGTGGGCAGTGCACCCATTTACACTTCTTTCTTCCTGACTGACACCTTGCAGCTTATGAGTTTGTGAGACCAGGTAAAATAAAATCATACTAAGCACATTAAGTACCTGTTGCTGCTTTTTCTTGCCGCTTAGCCCGTCCAGTGTTGGTAAGACAGGCTTTGGAGTGTTTCTGTGGGGCCCCGAGGAAGGTCCGCTTTCTCATGGAAGTGACCTGTAACAGGAGCGCCCCCTGGTGTTTGGAACTGTTGTTCTCCAGCAGCGTCCTAGGCAAAATACGGCGTACCGTGCGGTGCACCAGGGGACGTAGGCCCTGCGATCATTCCCAGGCGTGCTGCCCAAGTTCGTCCTGTTTTTCCCTCTCACATGTGCGGCTTCAGCGGGAAGGCTCCCAAGCTGTGGATGGCCACTGATCACAAGACCCAGGTGCCCTGTTCAAGGCATGATATTCTCACCTCCCCATTGTCCCTAAGCCATCTGTAACTGAGTTTAGGGCTGATCTTGGGGAATTTGCAGATGAACTTGGCAAGAGACCTTGATTTTTCATTTCTTACAGAAATAGGATTTGAAAGCTCCTGTGCACTTCGGCGAGCTCAGTGAGGAGGGATGCGCTAGTCCCTCCCGGCGTGTGTGGATCTGGCGCTGACTTGTCTGGCTCAGGCAGCCCAGTGTCAAGAAGGGCCTCTTTCCCTGGCAGAGGAACCTGGCCTGGCTGTTGGATAGATTTTTCCAGTTTCTGGATACCTTGATTTATAATCGTAAAATAATTACAATAATTACATTTACATATTTTACAGCAGTGGTTATTCAAGCAGTTTATTTGACAAGATGCCAGTTTTTTAGCCAAACCACAGATTATATTCCAAAATGTGTAGAAATAGATTCATGCATTCATGATTTAATATTTTAAACTTTGAATTATGAAATATTGCACACATAGAGTAATATGAGTACTCCTATCCTCTCTGCTCACCTTTACCATGTTGGTTTCCAATTTTTTTTAACAATAAAACATTGCTTATGCAGGGCCTAGTGGCCTCTCCCTCCCTGACTGACTCCCATCCTGCCTTGCTCAGAGGTAATGGCTATCCTAGATTTGTCCTTTTTATCTTTTCCAGATAGCGCTCATTTTTAAATGTTAGGGTTAATTTTTTGTTGGAGGTAACAATTTTGGAATTCGTACAGTTTAACTTAATGATTTTCACACACACATCAATATAAAGTAGAATGTTTTTATAGATCAATAAATTAAATATTGTAGGTGGGTCTTATGCAAGCTTGGCATTTGATTTTATTTTGCAAGGAATTACCTACTTGGGATTAGCGAGTATGTTATCCTCTTTCTTTTAAACATTTTTGAAGATGACACTTTTCAACCTTACCAAGATTCAACATATCCTTTCTCAATCTTTTCTTTTTAAAAAAGTCATTATTTCATCGAGGCCTTGTGCACGCAGGTAGAGAGAATGCAGTGACTTCTTAAAGATGTTGTGAATGACTTTGGTGTTAACTGCAGTTCTCTTTGTAACTAGAGGGTTTGGCTACAGTTATGAACTAACTTAGAGGGCAGTAGGGAG